CACAAAATTACGTTTCATAGAACAGAATTATAAAACTTTGAGAGAAAGTGTGTGCTGATCGCTTACTATCTTGGCGCATGAGTAAAACCTTCTAAAACCTTATTTTCAGGTTGTCACATCGGTAATATTTGCGTTTTGTCTTGTGCTCGCGGAATATCAATTTGTCGGTACGATTTCCTAGTGTACTGGTGCTTCTATAGGGCTAAATATTTTTTTAGATATGCTTATTTTTACTGTCATTCAGAACAACCTCAGTTTTTTATGCAATGTGTTGTATATTTCTGTCTTTTTTATATCCATTTTTTTTCAGGGGTTACATCTTCGCTGACATTATGTGTAGCGGGTATTGGGAAAGAAAGCTTGACTATACTACTTTCTATAGTAAGTTCTGTGTACAACTTAATTGATCTTAATATACGTAAAATCCAGAATTGTATTTGGCATTCCTGTTTCTTTTCTTTTGCATTATTTGCCTAGGTTGGTTTTCGAGAAGCACTCACATTGAGAAATGGCCTTGCAATTGGTGTGTTTTCTTAAAAGTTTGTTTATCTAATCGTATTTTTGTTAAAATGCCATTTGATGGTACGCCGCTGCTATTTAGAGTTCTATAAAGTCTTGCAAATTTGTACATTATTTGCAGGTTTTTCTCTTGTTGGAGTACTACTATACTCACGCCTGCGCTTGAGGTTTCCCACTTTGGATGGAAACAAGCCCCCTCCTGTACTCCCCAATTGAATTAATACTTAGGTAAAGTCGGTTTATCCTAGTCATCTCAGAGCTTTCTATCATTGTTATAGTGTGCTGCTTCATGCTGCTTCACTCCCTTTTTTATTTTTGTTTTGCCTTCTAATTTATTATCGTCAAAAAAGTAGAGTGTTGGTATCAGTTATGCGTATGTGCTGCTTACTCTTTTGACGAAAGATGAGATAAAAGTAGTTGTGGAAAGCATATCTGGATTCATTATTCCTCATGATAATGAAATCATTTACTTGCGAATTTTTTTACTAATTTGAAGCTGTAATAGCAAATGTTGATTGAGCATGTTTTTTCAAAGAATAGGATAACTCTTTACCTTTCTACTACTTTATCGTAATGTCTGATTCTGTTATATATGCAGTAATTATGGAATTTGAGTTATGGAAACAATTCTTTGGTATTTGGAGGAAGGTTTGCTTTGCCTCGAGTTTAAAACTCATGTATTAGATCACTTTGAAATCTTTTCAGTTTCGTTGTGTAGTCGTTTTTTTTCTTTTTAAAAAGATGGTATGAGCAGCGACTGATTAGCTTCAAGAACAAACCTTTTAAAATCATACCCTTTAAAGCAAAAAATGAAGGAGATGCGGTAGAGCATCTATAAAAATGTAATTCCTGCATTTCTATATTCAGTTTTTCTACGCACGTGCTTTGTTGCTCTTCTTGCAAAAATACAATATATACAATACTTTAAAAGATTTTTGATGTGTTAATTTGCATTGTCAAATTGAGCAAAGCTGCATCGAAATACGGCTAGCGAAGTTTGCCAAGTGTGACCTTATCTTCCAAATTTTTGCAAACGTTAGGATTGAACACATATCGAAGCACATTTTATTCCTCTGTTCCACTGAAGCAAGCATAGTAGTCATTATTGAAGTTTGAGCCAATTTATATGCAGCATCTGCCCGCTTTTACATATTCAGTATTCAAATGAAAAATCGATGAGTACACCTTTATCATAAAATACTCCCTTATTATATAAGGTAAGTAATGGCTATAACGTAACATGGAGCGTTTGATTCTTGACCGCATGCGGCCTAATCAACCAAAAGTTGTTCATCAATTGTGTACGTCATTACATTTTTCAGTTATTGCATAGAACTAATTTTTGCAAGGAATAACAATTACGAATAGGAGTTGAAAATAATATGCACTGGTGGTGGGCATATTTGTGCAATCAGCAATTGATAGCACACTAAGTTACTGGGCATGCATTTACAGAGAGTAAAAATGCAAAAGTTTATGTAAATTTGTTAAAGTAATGACGAGACAAGAATATAGGCTGATTATATAATATGTTACAATAAAGTGATTAATAAATAGCTGGAGAGAACAATGCTGAAACAGAAATAAGTAAAAGTCATAGTGGAGTAGCGGTGAAGACTGTAGACAGTAGAATCACGCTTTGTTTTTACTGTTGCAAATTAAAGCAATTCGATATTTGTACCTGCAAATTAAAAAATTTATGCGGGTTACCATCCATTATATGTAGGTCACCATGATAGAATATCAGTACATGTATACAAGAAATGGTTGAAAAGCGAAATGTCTAAGGCAAGTTAGTATCAAGAGTGACGATGAAGCAGGCAGCTTGAGTGAATTGTTCAGGTGCACGCGGCAGCATTTTGCAGTACTACAACCCGAATTATGATCTTCGAGCGCTATGCAACGTGATTCAATCAGCTAACAGGTGAAATCTCCCCTGTCATAACTCCTCAAGAGCGCAAGCTTTTCTTTCTTGGTCAAGGTTGCATATTTGATCTGAAAAATTTTATACAGCAAAATTGACACAAGATTTCTTCAATTGCTGATGCAACTAATTCTAGGAAATTAGACACTCTTTACTTTCATGAGCCATTCATTCTATTGTAGCTAGCCAATTTCTTTGCATAGTTATGGTCTTTCTTTGGCTTTAAGCTTCTATAAATGTGCTTTGGAATTAATACGAAAGAATGCAGCCACTGGAAAAGAAATAGAAGCGGAAAGAATGCTCTTTAGAAAGCAGAAAATTCGTATGGAGTTGCATTTTGTTCATTACATTGAAGGATATACTATTCCAAGAACAAACATCGTATAATTATTTCGAAGACAGTGTGATTAAAATATTCTCTAATCTTCGTGTTATATTGTAGCAAGAGTATTGCATCACGATATTAAATTATTCTAGTTACAATGCAATTGTTATAATGCATAGTGAATTAAGATGTATCATCGCCTTGCTTACTTTTGTTAATACATCTGGATTTTTATTTGCAAACGCTGAATAATTGCTAGAATCTAGTATATCAAAACCTGATTTAATTGCACCTAAAATTTGAAAATCATGGCCATTTTGGAAGTGCATAGGTTTGAGCACCCCGTTTAAGTAAGGCGGAGTTTATGTAGAATCTATAAAACTGGAATGATTTTTTTAAAGAAAATCGACAAGCACAAACAGACTAGATTCTCTGTATTAATTTTGAGAATAATTATAGCGATTCTTGTTTTGCTGTCACTTCAGCAGTTAAAAACACGAAACTGCTACTTTTAAGTAATTTGCGTCAGTCACTTTCGGCGCTCAGCAGAATTTAAAATTAATTTCTATGCATGTAACGCATGTCAAATCGTGTACTTTGAATAACCCCAATGGCATCATGAATTGAGTACGTTTCATTTGTGTCATATTTGATTCAATCGATCAATTGAAACGTTGGCATACTATTAAAACCATCATGAAGTATGGAGCAAAAAGGATAGGAAATATAAGTAGAATTTCCGAATTATTTAATTGAAATTTTTCCTCTACTTTTCTTCCTGCGCAGATGATACTAATTCTTGGTATACCCACACAATTCTTGCATTATATTCGAATATCTTTTAAAATATTGTCTTCTTTTCAATCACAATGTTTACGTTCATAACGTAACAAGCTTTAGCAAAGTAACTCCACTTAAAGCTAAACAGCATGAAAGTGTTTCCAATAACCATGATATACCGCAATCATATACTTCTGAGGCTTAACTACTTAATTCGACTGAATGAACCGCTTGTTTGTATACTTTCAACTTAGCTTGATTATTGCTTCATTTTCTTTTTTAACTTCGCGGAAGTTGGTTTTATTCAATGCTGTAATTTATTTTTTAGGGTGTAATTGCAATTTATTTGGCATGAATTGTACATTGTACCCGATCAAATTTCCTGCCGCTTCTTTACCGCAGGTTTTTGCTAAGACAGAAAATTTCAAGATAGCATTGTTAATAGATTCATGCTTGTCTGTTAATCAGTGATCAATTTCTATCATGAAATGCATCGAACAAGTGATAGTATTCTAACTGTTGCCTATGTATACATCTTTACACGCATTGACAACGGAAGTTGTATACTTTATTTTTCAGTGCTAGCTTCCGCTTTCAGACCCTTGTAAATTTACTGGGTATACAAATGTACAAATCAGTCCCCGAGCTCTACGAGTTTTTAGAAAATAAAAGCGTAGCTTTCCATTTGGAAACTATCTCCGTTGTATATGTCTCTCTGCAATACAGACTATAAAAATCAAGAAATATTACACATGCTGAAATAATTATAGCATCATCTTGCAGTTACATTTTCAAAGCTTTGAATTTTATTCCATTTTCGATAAATGCATTGTGCGAGTGCGGGCGAGGCACCCAATTTTATAAATAGAGAGTGCTTGCGGGTGAGATTTTTTAAAACGCATGGCGCGTACATTTGCTTGCGGTATCTCTGTTGAATAGTGCTACATCATTCTTGCTCCCCTTTTTGTGGTCCTGCTACTTTACAATAAATGCTCTATGAAATCATTTGCAAATTTTATGGTTAATGGAATGAAATGTAATTGTTAGTTACCATTAGTATTAAAAAAGAAAACTGTTCAATTTTTACTCAAGAGAATTTGGCACCCTCCCCCGAGGGACAGTAAATGCAAAATGATTCAGCAAAACATGAATAGCATATCAAAGTATCACTGTTTTGTTACTGTTAAACGGTTTGTGGTTAAACGTTGAAATTCCGGCCACTTCTCACTCGATGGGCGCCCTCCTGCCTGGTCAATCAAGACGCCGCGGGTAAAAACTCTGCGAAAGAAAGTGAGAGAGAGATAGTTCCCCAAACCCTGAGGGTCTACAAAAAGATTCTATGTTTAAGAAAGATACGAAGGTATTGAACTTTTACTAGCCAATTCTTCAGTAAACATGCCAAAAATTGAACAATTTCAGAAGATGATTATGTATACAAAACCAATCCCTGTAACGGGTTTGGTCTAGTGGCAATGACGTTCGCTTCACACGCGAAAGGCCCTGAGTTCGAACCTCAGCACCCGTATATTTTACAATGCAGTTTTTTTTTTCAGGAGAAGAAATAACAAACAAATAGAAAAGCAAGCATAATGCTTTTAGTTACGCATCTCTGTGAAAAATTGTAGCTAATGCGATAGTGACATGATCACGCTTCAGCAAATGTGCTCAGCATCGCTGCTACATATTTCTTCATAGCATCTTCAGGTAATTGAAAAAGGCGTATTTACGGTAGTTTTGCACTGGATTCTGCGGTGTCTCGAAAAAGCTAAATTTCCAACTGTTTATTCCTGGATTTTGCTCAAATTTATCATCACGCTGGTTTAATTTCCTTACTTTTCTCTGATGGGCTTGAATCGTTTCCATTTACGGAAACATTTCTTGAATTTTTTTTCTTTAACACCATTCTTTCTATTGCATTTTGATCGAGAAATATTTTATTCGTAATTCTCAGGCGTGCTTGGAAATTTTTACTGAAATTTTCAAGGTATGATTTTGACTAATGCTTTTTCTCGCAATTGTGAAATCTCATTAATCAGTTTCAATTGAGTTACAAATTTTTTTTTTCCAAGCAGAGCTAAACTAGACGTTAGAGCTAACTAGACGCTCTATTTTAGATGCAAAAAAACGCCACTGAACTTCCAATTTCAGCAAGCGAAAGAATTCCGAGTTTTCATCTGAGTTTTGCAATTTTCGTACATCAAAGCTTGTTCTAAAATTGAATGGAACTGTCACTACATCAAAATGAGATTCCTGTGGCAAGGTGAGGACTTGCTTGGTTGCGTTAAGAACGTATCCGATGTGAAATTGTAATGACAAGTTCACGAACAACTAGCTTGCAAACTTTTAAGCAAGAAATATTATCCTTTACGGTTTAGCGGATAGTAAACAGCTATAGTACTTATTTCCATTTTGCGCAGTCAATCATCAAAATAAAAGCATTGCACTAGTCATTTTTTTCGTGGCTTTTGCACTAAGGCTATAGTAGTTCTTCAAAGTCTTCTACCCGTAACTGATCATGTAAGCAATGCATTATACTTTCAGGTTGTGAGAACATTGGAAAATGGCAAAACAGATTAAATTTTACTCTTTTTATTATAGCTTTGCGGCTGGGAACTTGCACCTCTGCAATTTTTCAAAATCCCGTGGAGCATCAGCACGGTATAGTGTTATTTCTTTTCTAATAATTTGTGGGCGACAAGGAAATGTCAATTACTTTAATTGCTTTACTTCAAAACAAGATAAGCAGTAATTTATAAAACGCTGTAAATGTATAAATATGAAGAAAAAATATGGCAAATGGTCTAAGTACATGAAAAGAATCTATGGGTATCAACGGTTCATACCAAAAGTATACATATTTTTTGGCTGCACTAAGCAGTTTAATTTGTTTTGGTTGTTTCTGCGCTGTAAGTATAAATGAATTAATTATGCAATTTTCAGATGTTACTCCAAAAAAAAAATTAAACGTTGAATTTTTTCTAAAAAACAATTAACTATTGCTAAAATTTATATATTTTTGTAAAGCTTTTGAAGACCAGCGATTACTGTGAATACTTTTTATTTTGCAGTGGAAATAGGGAAATTGCATCCTTCATCACAAAAACTTCTTAATTTCTCTCCAGTTCATTTATCAAGTATTCCACACTTACACTTTGTCTTGAAGCAAAGATATAATACATTTGTGATATTTCTGAAAAGCTATTATAGAGAGTCAGATCACTCATATTATCAGAATGCGCTAAGCATTTTAAGTGATTCTATTTAATGCTTTATCATATGCAGGTTTTCCACTGAACTTTGACCGCAATCTGCATATGGAAAGTGATCCCGTAAACAATTTTATGAATGGTAGGCAACTTTTGCTTTCCATTTTCTTATGATTGCTTGTATAACTTGAAATAGTACGCTTTTACTCGAAAACAGAGTTGAAAATGTTGACGCAGTTACTATTCTACTTTTGTTTAAATATTAATTTTGCAGAAAAAGCAATAAATTGGGATACTTTTCAAAATTGGATGAATGCCCCAAAGAATGAGATTAAAGGATTGCTTACCCAAACCACAAAGTTGCAAAATATTTTTCCTCACGAATGGCAAATATTTTACGAGCATCTTAGTCTTTATTCATTTTTCTTAAATTTCCGGGATAACACGCTCGGTAATTCTATAAACAAAAGTACATGACAAAAATAATATCACTGCTAAATTGAATAATAATTATGAAAAAAAATAGTTGCGAAATTTTGTGTTTAGTTGCAGTAGGCAAAACTTTAGTGCCATTGCCAAGTCCAGCAGTACTTCATCATTTTCGAGGTAGGTTGAAAAGTGATGCTCGAATTGCAGTTGAGTACTTAGATGCATAATATCTAAAAATTCGCAAAGTAGAAACGCCGCAAATTGTTGCGCAGGTGATGTACTTCCTACCATGTACGTAAAGGTGATAACCGAAGGGGAACCCTCAGCAGAAATTTATCTTGTTCTTCGCAGCCTGGGTGAAGATGTCTGGGAATTACAAAATCTACATAATTCAAATACGCGTGTTACTCGTAAAAAAAATTTATTACCGTCATTTGATCCTGGTTAGTACTCAGATGCTCCATATCACTAATTGGCTTCAACCATTTCCTATAAAAAGATAAAATGCGGCGAAAGTATGCACTGCAATGAAAAGACCTTATTTAAAAACACACTACATTTAGTTTTATAGCTGCCTTGCTTTCCTACAGATGAGCTTCGATATTCTTCTCGTAAGAATGAGAGGAATGGGGAAATCCACGAAAAATTGTCTCGAAGATACCACACTACTGAGCGCAAGGAAATACTGTCGCAGCTACCTAGTAAGTCGATTAGAAATGCTTCGGTTCGGCGCTTCTTTCAACGTTGTGGCATTTCCAGTCTCTCGTCTTTACATTTTCTTATTTTATTATCTTTTTTTACTAATGGTTTCATTGACAACAGCAACTGCCTACATAAAAGCATTTGCGAAATTTCTGAAGATGACGGATCTGCTAGAATCTAAAGAAACAAAAAGTTTTAAAAGCAACTTGGATGAAATTCGAATGGCTTTTACACACAAAAGAGTGGCTACAGGCAAGCCTAGATGGAGGGCAGCAATGCACAAAGCCAGCTGTGTAAACGTGGGTGTTGTGGCACCATTGTTACAGGCTGCATGAAACACTTTAATGAGATAATAACGTTTTGATAAGCTACCGTTCAACATTAGAAGCCGGTGCCAAAATCTTTAACTTTTATTCAATATACTTGCATAATTATTTTTAGCTGTTGAAATTCTTCACTTTTTGGTTATCTCTGGAAAACTACCAAAAATGTACGCGAGTGGACTCAGTATTCCCCTCTCCTATGCCAATCTCATAGGTAGTGGAAGCTACGTGCTAGTATGGGCTGTTGACCGTGAATTGGAGCTGCAAGAAGGAACCTTATCAAGCAAATTTGTAAATTCCGAAAATTTGCCAGCATTATTGGAAGAAACAAATCACTTTTGGGAAGCAGCTTTTCGTGATACATTCAAGATTTGCCGTAAATCCTTAAGTAAATTTTTTTCAGTAAAGAATGACTTACTTGTTAATCGTAAAGTATACATATATAAAAACTTACGGACAACTAATCGATGATTTCTTAACGCTTGAGTAATTTATCCACATTCTCATTCCTAGTGATGACTCAAAATGTGCAAACTCAACGAATGCAACTTGCCCTTGGTTGGAAATCAAGCATGCAACTGGCAGGTGAAAATGCCAAAAGCACAGCAACTACTGTTGAGAAAAAAGTCTTTAAAATATATAATTTAGCTGTTACGAAAACACTGACACTTTCTCGTTAACAGGATATCCTACTGGTCTTATGGATATATGTGATCTAAACTGTCAAAAACTCGTGCAACAGCGCATCACGAACAAGCTTCTAAAATTACCCGTTTTCATTACTGGAGAACGAGCAGACAAATATGGTGACGGTTAGTGCTTTTTGGGAAGTGTTTTGAAAACGCTATTGAAGTCACTAAAAGTCGGTACTTTAGCATCTCTTCTTAAGTGGACGCTTTACTTTTAAAGCTTGATGTCGATATATATTCACTTTCGTTCAATTATTTTACAGCTGTTAGATCTATGTGGTGGTTATACGATAAAGATATACGCTTTTTGGATAAGATTACTGCACAATTATATGGCTTGCTGGAAGCACAGATTCGACTCTTCCAGACGGGCGGCAAAGAGAAAGACGGAGTTATTACTCGCTTTAATGAAGCATTATACTACACAGACTGGTACCATTTTTGGGGAGCGCTCAGTGCGATAAATTATGCATTTTTAAACGATCCAGAGAATTTCAATGCCCCCAATGGATTTTTATTGTATAAATTCCTAGTTTCTGAAATTCTCTTTTTTCAACAATCAAATAGAGGTGGAAAGAATTCACCCCAGAGGTCATTAAAACGCCGTTACGCTCGGAGTGTCGGTGCAATATGGCGCTACTTCATGACAGGTATTAACGGAATGTCACTAGGCAGGACAATCGCACCTTTTGCTTCGCATGGTCTTCAGATAGGTACGATTCAACTCTACAATTTTTCCATGTACATTCAATTTTATATGGCTCCTTATTATTGATGCCTGACACAACGGGCTATTTTCTTGACTTGGCAATGCGTGTATGCGTATTTCAGCTTACTTTTTGCATACTATTGTGGAAGGGGATAAATCTCGCAAGTCAAGTACTTCGAAGTGGGAACAGATAACTAAAAAACTTGAACCTCCCGTGGAGTTTAAAGCTACTACATTTAAAACATCTATGAATACAATAAAGAATCTCGCGTCGCTTTTTAAAAGTCGCTTCCTGGTGTTAAACAAGCCAGTTGAATCTACCCAAGCAGGACAAGCAATCGCTTTAACTTCTATGTCAATTGCATTCTTATGGATGACTGGGATGCGAAAGAGTATTTTAAATCCTTTTGAAGATATGAATATTCCAAATGCCAAGAAAATGTTCGTTCTATCACTGATGCTGGAAG